TGCATTAGACATAAGCCCTATATCTAAAAGGGTATACAACCTTCGGATTTGATTATTGCCACAACTGAGCCGTATATTTAGTGATAATTAAAATAAAAAAGCAATCTTTGTTCTAGTTCTGGAAATTCTCTTAAAGCTTCTTGTAATTCGCAATTAAGTTAAGTGTAGCCGAAGGGCATTTAAAATGTGATATGACTACTGTACGTATATGCTAAGTATTTAATTGTATTTCATTTAATTTTATTTTATTTTACTTCATTTATTTATTTATTTATTTTTATTTTTATTTTTATTTTATTTTATTTTATTTATTTATTTATTTTTTTTTTGTTAATGCAAATTGTCTGGGTTGTTAGTGATGTTCGGCATCTTTTCCCATGCCGCACACGTATTAAGGTCTGGGCCAATGAAACTTGAATAATTTTTATTTTTATTGAACATTTTGCTTTATATCGTGTTTGCTGTTTTGCGCTGCCCTGACGCTCATTTGTTATTATTTTGTAGCAATATTATGCTGATTGTGTGCAAAATGTGAGGTGCTTCGCGTCAGGTGTTTGCATCTGATTCGGAACTGATTCTAAAGACTGTAACACCCAATGGGTGTGACATATGTAGCTGTCAGTGTGAGATCATTTAGAGAGCATCTCTATCTCTCTCTTAGTCCCTCTCCCAAACACACACACACACACAAACACACACACATAAAGTCAAGAGTGTGAAAGAACAGTAACTGGATAAACCAGATGAGAACTTACAACTCGTTTTTTTTTTCTCAATCAGAATTGAAGCTATCCATGTGTAGTTATTTGTGTGTGTGTATGGGTGTCTAGGTGTCTATGTGTGCGTGGGTGTGTGTTTATTAAACATATGCAAAAGCTGACTGTGGGCGCGGCCATTGAACCCCCATATTAACATATTCCCGACTATCTGCACCTATGAGGGAGGAAGCCGCGCTTAGTTTATGCATTGAGAACATGTCGAAAGTTGAGTCGAAAGTCATGAATTGACAGCATGATTGATGCATGGATTGGACACTGCATGTACAAAACATTGAAAGCATTTCAATTCTGTGTGGCGTTTTCTCTGAAATCAATTATAAATTAAACAGTTTGCTGCTGTCGGGTATATACGACGGGATCATACCTGCCCATGAGAAGCACTGGTAAGAGAAAACTTTAGGAAGCGGTCTAACGAATATGCCATATTTTTATACGATCTTGAGCACAGTAAAGCAACAATATCCCACACTTTATAGAAACAATTGCCCTTACATATAATTAATTAGAGATTAATTCTAATTGATTAGAGATTAATAATAAGCAAACAAAATTTTCAATGTATTATAGAAGTTTAGAGTTGATCTTGAAAATGTTAGTAGACTAAACCAACTCTGAAGCTACTATGGGGTACTGTAACATGAACTTAAGATATAAGTATCAAATTTAAAATAATATATAAATATAGACAACAAAGCCTATATTAAATGGGAGACATTAACAACAAAATCAGCTTTTCTAATTCATGCGAAAGTACTCAATAGATATATTGACATAGATATATATATATAGATACATTAAATATATATATTATAAGAATTTATAATAATTATATTATTTATTTGTCTTAAAAGCCAAGTTCAACAAACACCTTTTAAATAAATTATTTATTGATTGTATTAATAACCGATACATAACCGTTTGAATAGATTTCTAATAGTGGAATTTCTTTCTTAAATTTAATATATTATTCTAATATATTTTTGATTTAATAACATTTAAGTAGAAATATTATTATGAAAAACTATAGATCTTTATATTTTGACCTGCACCGCTTATATCCGATAAAACCACTTCAAAAAATATTTTAAGCCATTACATTTATATACGAATTTACACACAAGTGAATATTTACTATATAAACTATACCCGATATGCCAAAAAAAAAACCATAACTGATATATAACCGTTTAAGCTGAAAGTCACATCCAAAAGCTTTAGGTATTCAACAGATTCACTTTCAGACTCAAGTTTTTCCTTAATTGAATTCGATAAATCAAAAAACGAACCGATTCGGAAGTGCTTAGTAATGCCAAAGCAAAGATTAGCTAAATGATATTTATGCATGTATGCAGCTGAAATTGTCATAAATGTTCAATTACATGAACTTGAAACATTTAAAGTTTGCTATTGAAATAATATAACCGATTCAAATTGCATAACCGTTAACGCGTCGCAATTTACTGCACTGATTTCAGCTATGATTCGAGCGCTTGGCATTGACATATCAATTGAACTTGAAGCACTTTGCCTACGAAACGCGAAATTGATTTGCACAGCTTCTGCCATACATACTATATATGAACTTTATTTTTAATAGATATTTATATACTCTATATATATGTATATATCGATATCTGTTCTTCTTTAATTGCTGGGCGTTGCTGAGGGAAAAGTCGAATAGTTGAATAACACTTCTGTCAATAGTTACTGCAAATGGTTTACGAGCGTTTCGAATTACACGTTATCTGTTTATATTTTAATAATATTAATTACTTAAAGTTTTTAGTTTATTTTATGAGCAATTTTTGTAGTCGTTTTAAGTTCGTTAAGCTTAAACAAGTTTTGTTGCTTTGTGATTTATTTATCTTTTTACTTAAAGCGCAGGGCTTGAGCTTGGAGTTATGCACATAACTGGGCTTATATAGATATATTTTTAGTTATATGTATTATATGTCTAACTTTTGTATACAACTGAACTGACTACCGTACCGCTTGGAGCTTCTGTTAGCTAGACGTGAATGCGAGCCGTTCGCTGGTCGGCGGCAATCTAAAGATTTTCATAGCACGGCGCTTTTATCTTATAGGCGCAACGCAGTACGCATACACACGCACACACACATACACAGAGAGAGAGAGAGAGAGAGAGGAATAGAAAGAGAGAGCCTGATTGAGCGTCGCTTTTCGCAGTCGCAGCAACAGCAGGCGGCTTAAACGAAGCAAATTCGTGCCTCGGCGTCGGCGCAGTTCAGGCTTTTGTGGAACCTTTATCAAAATTATACGCACACACACGCACCTAAATATATACACACACACAGCGCTCACCGCGGGCAGTCAGAACTTTGCTTGCAATATCTAATGACAGGGCTTACGCAGCGTATGCGCGATTTCTGTGAATTTGAATGCAGACACACGCACACACACACACACACACGCACACACACACACACACACACATGAACACTCAGCTTGAAGATGCCACATGGTGGCATGTTGTTGACGCCAACGTGTTTTTGACCTTAATTGCGCTGATTAACCCGTTTTTCTTTTTGTGTGTGTGTGTGTTTTTTTTTATTTTTTAGAACACTTCAGGCCAAAGCCACTGTAACCACCAAGCAACAGTCGCCAGCCCCACGCGCACCACCCACAGCACAGATAAGCATGAGACAAGACGCACAGCATGCATTTGGGCACCCCGCCAGTCTCTGATGCTCAGTTACACTGAGCAAAACTAGTGCGCCTTGAGCTTAAAAACAGGCTTTCGCTTTATATAGAAATATTATATTATATATACATATACATATACCAAATAGACATCGACCAACATCGAGCAACTAGACTGAAATGGGTCGCCTTATGATATACTGCTGATTGCCAATATATAGCCAAAAATAATATTTACTAAAAATATATATTAAAAATGATTAATTTTCCTGTATGAAATATGGTTCAGAAATTGAGGCTTTAGCATTTCAAATTGTTAATGAAAACAACAAAATATTTAATTATTTTTCTGATTTATTTCAATGTAATATTCAAACAAATCTTTTTACTTACAAAAATATATTACAAACATTTATTATTATTATTATATTACATTTTTTTTATAGGTTATTACTAATGAATATCATTTTACTTACAAAAATATATTACTAATATTTATAATATACAAATTATTTATTACATATTATGTATATACAATTTGTAATATTTTTTTTTAGCAATTCTTGAGCTACATTTTTTTTTATAGGTTTTTACTAATGAATATCATTTTGATCATTACATAAATTACTTTATACACTTTTTAATTTTTGGTAGTAATTTTACAGCTATTTTTAGCTAACTTTTTAATTAAAAAAATGCTTTAAATATCTGAAGAACCTTTTGAGGAACCACACCCATTTTTTGTGCGAGTGTATTTGTGCATTAGCCAGAGAGGAAAGGACTTAAGGCCCCAATGCAAGTGGCTGGCACATTCGAGTGCTTGCCGGGGGATGGGGAGAAGGGTAACAGAGGGCATGCGAAACTGGGAAAGTGGAAATGTGGAAAAGTGGGCCGTGCGTGGCAAACTAACTAAGTAGCACTTACGCCTTGCGGTAATTGCCACAAACACTAATTGCAGCATTTGCGCTTATCTGCTGTCAAATGGGATTAAGTTAATGGTTGGCACCCTCGAGCTGGCTTTAGCCGTACCCACTAAATGTGGCACGCGCTTAAAAACCCATTTAGAAATCAATTTGTATCGCTCTCAGCCAAAAATATTCTTAAAATTGCCAAAATTTGCATGAATAGGTTTATACCAATTACCGCTACAGCTTTAGCACATTTAATATAAAATTAAAGCAAATCTAAATACCTAACGGAAGTCGTCTTTAAAGCTAAAATTTAATTTAGTTTCTGGCAAATTTTATTAAATTTGAAGTCAAACGTATTTTAGCGCCATCTATCGAACGGTGCCTTACAGCAATTGCGAATTTAATCTATTGATGCTGCCAACTTCACATTTAATGTTACACTCACAGAGAAGTCAGCAACCCCAACAAAAGGCTTCACCAGTAAACAGCATAAGCCAGCTTAACAGCGCTCTGTTAAGTAAGCAAAGGCACGCACCAAAACATCGCCAACAACAAGCTGGCAGCACTGGCCATTTGGCGCCAAAATGTTATATCTAAATTAAAATTTTCGTAATTAATTTTTTCAAGTATATTAATAAAATGCATTTGGTTTTCAGTTCAGGGTTTTGTCTTTATATTTAAAATGTACATATCTTTTTCAATAATATTGCCTTTTTTGATGCAAAAATAAGCTTTGCTTAAAATAATCATTATATAATAAGGGGATGTTTGTTTGTTTTTGTTTTGTTTTTCATTTTGTTTTTGTTCAGTGTTTGTTCATTGGTCGAGGGGAGGGGTTAATTAAACGAATAAGCGTAAATTGTACCTAACACAAGTTTTCAACTTTCAACTCTTAAGCTTAACATAGCTAAAATATATAAATGTGTATGTGTGCGTGTGTATGTATGTATGTTTGATGATTATATGTGTGTGTGTATCTTTAGCCTGTTTCTGCTTATCAACTAGTGAGGGGTATGGGGAGGGGATGTGGGCCGCTTAAATTTTTATGACATTAATTTTTCATTTTAGATTATAATGCACATTTCTTGTTACGTTACACAAATTCAAACTAAAGCTCTAAGTTAATTGAACTAAAATGTTAAAAATTTTCATATATAAAAAAACAAGTAAACAAAAATTGATCAAAGAAAAGAACGAACTTAAGATTCAAGAGAAAGAACGTTAAAATCTTAAAATGTACATCAGCGTGTGTGTAGGGGATTCAGTGTATGTGTTTGTTTGTATGTGTGTGTGTGTAGCTTTACAATTAAGTCTTAACTAAAATTAACAAATCAAAATCAACAAAATCAACTTAAAAGGTTTTTCTCTTTATAAATGAAATAAATACCCAACTCTATCTCTATCTCTGTTTCTCTATTTACAAATACGAGTGATTTTCTGCGGGCGTTGCCACCCAGTCGTAAAAATGATGAAGAAGCAGTCGCATCTACAGCATCAGCCGCGAACGCGACTTCTTAAAGCGACCCGTTGCAGCGCCTCCAGCGCCCCCATCACCATTCCAGGACTTGGACTTGGCCCGAAAGTGTCTGTAGGCCTCATTGTAGGCCGGCTCCAGCATCGGGCGATACGCGCTCGGCTGGCAGAGCTCCGACTGTGTCTCGAAGAACTCTTTGTAGCCGTTGTGCAGCAGATAGATCTCCGGATAGTGCAGGGCCGGATACGCATGCGTGTTGCGCTCCCGATCCAGGTTGCGCAGGAATCGCGACATTTTGGGGCCACGCTCCGACGAGAACTCACAGTGGAAGATGATGATGTGGCGCTTGTTGCCGGCGGCGGCATTTTGCTGCTGCTGCAGCTCAGTCTGTGTCGCGCTCAGGAACTCCTCAAGGATCTGCTCGTGGGTGTAGAGGTTCTTGGCGCCTCGAATATGCCCGCCATCATATTCGTACGGATAGCGGCAGTCGATGATGCGATAACTGGCTACCTGGTGATCGAACTTGCCGTTCAACAGTTGCGCCACCGTCTCGCTGGAGATCGATTTGAGATCCCGGTGACGTCCCTCCATCAGTGGCAGGGCGTACGTCTTGCTAAAGTCGCCAATTAGCTGCGGCTCATTGTGATTCTCCGAGCGTGCCAAAGCGGACATGATTTCAGCATCATTGAGCGACATGCTTTTGCGCAGAGGAGGTGGGTGGGTTGATGTGGTTGTTGCTGTGGCAGTGGCAGCGGTGGGGCAGTTCTCCTTCTCGACGCAACGGTGACGCTTGCTCTGGATGGGTGAGCAGCTGGCCGATGCGGGCGGTTCGGGACGCTTGAAGCAATCCCGTGCAGTCTCTGACGTCTTTGGTTGCTGTTGTTGTTGTTGTTGTGATAATGCTAGCTGATTGCTATTCGTCTCTGTCATACTGAGGCAACGGCGCACCGACGGACGTCGCATCATCATGGTCAGGGCCTCCGGAGATTTGGGCGGCACCTTGATTTGCCCGCTGATCAGCGAGTTAAGCCCGCTGGGCAGTGTGAGCGAGGAGGATGGGGTTGGTTGTTGGACGCCAGCATAGGATTCCATTTCGAACAGCTCCATGTACTCATCATCCATGGACGACTCCATGGAGCCCGACGAGGAGAGGCTGTTGAATATGCGAAAGCTGCGCGCAGGTGTAGCAGCGCTGCCAGCTGCCGCTGCTGGGGTTGCCACCGGCTGTTGCTGCTGCAAGAGCTTGGGCTGGCGGATAATTTGAAAACGCTGCGGCGAGCCCTCGGGCGAGAGCAGACCGAGCAACGCCGGGCTGACCGACCGCTGCGACGGCGACGATAACGGCAAAGCGTCATCGTCGTAGAACGAAAGCTCCTCCTCAGCATCCATAGCCATGATGTTGTTCATGTTGTTGTTGGTGTTGGTGTTGTTGGTCAGCGCACGGCGAACGCGGCGACTGCTGTTGTTTTTGTTGTTCATGTTGCTACAAAGGCAGGAGGAAGAGAGAGCGAGAGAGGGGGAGGATTAGTCAACTGAATTTCGTTTGCTTCCTGCTGCTGGTTGCGCTGCTGCCTAAACTGTGGCGGGTCATTAAACCCGCAGCTAAAAATATGCGGCGGTGGCGGCAGTGGTGGTGTAGAAAAAACAACAACAAGCAGAAGATGAAGAAGCAGCGCAAGCAACTGCGAGGGGTTGTTGGGCTCATTTTCCATGCGTGTTGTTGTTGTCTCTCTCTCAGTTTAATAAATAAGGAAGTTTGAGTTAGAACTTAAAACGTCCCCGCCCCTTGCCTTTTTTGCGGTACTCTGAGCGCAATTTCCCTTTTGCACTCGTTCCGCTCGGGCTGTTTGCGTCAGCGGTCAAATGCATCTGCACTTTTGACGACTTTTTGGGTCACGCAAGACGGCCGCAGCACAAGCAAAAGCAGAAGAAGAAGACAAAGAAAAACATAAGCAATCGTCATTAGCCGACTGCGGCATACTCTCTACACACTCTCTACCAACTACAAACAGGTCGAAATGACAACTTGAAGTGCTTGAAAAATATACTCTTTTGCATTTTACGAACAGTGTATACAAATTGACAGAGCACAGTTGCTGTTGTTGTTGTTGGAGCTGAGCGAGCTTCGCGGAAGCCGGTTTAATGAATGAAAAAGCAACAACAACGGCAACAATAACAACAGCTGAGCGCCACAGCCGAAAAAAAAACGTGTCGTTCGCTCGTGTGGAGCGTGCAAAAAATAATGAGAACAAAAAACATTTTTACTCTTACTTTTGTTCAACTGTATAAAGCAAAGCAGCGCGGTCGACGCCGGCGAATGCCTTGCGGCTGCTTCTCAGTGCCGTTGTTCACAGTTGCTTTCTGTATGTTTGTATATACATGCATATGTGTGTGTGGGCTTTGTTACTGCTGTGGTTGTTGTTGGTTGCCACGATCTGTTCAAGTTCAAGCGCGGTGCTTTTGTTGTTAAAATTTACTTGCACTTTTATTACATTATCTATGCTATCCTCATTCCTATGCGCTCTATGCTTCACATCTAGTTCTTGAGTGATAATTACCTGATATTGCAATCCATGGCGCAATTGTTCTCTTCGGCAATTGATTCCCACAGCATTTTGAATTAGTTAATTTATTTATTTTGTAGAAAATACCGCAAATATTATTTGGCTATTTCGGTGGAAGAATTTCAGCTCGTGAATGTTTTCCGATTCTCTTTTGGGGATCTTTTTGAAAATTGCTAAAACACAATTCTCACACGTCTCTTTTGCTGGCACATTTACAGTTAATTTGTTAGTTCGTTTCGTTTTCGTTAGTTGCGACTTTGCACTTGGTAGTCCTTCGTTGAATTTGTTGTTTCATTTGTAAAATGTATTTGTTAAAAACTAATATTGCATTTGCTGTTGCAGATAGTATATGTGTTTATTTTTGGAGTTTTGCATCATTCTTATTATTATTGTGTCCGTTTTAACATTATTGCATTTGTTTGTAGTTGCACGTACTTTGTGAGTTCTTTGTGTGCTGCGTTTTGTATTAATATTTTATATCCCAATCGTTTTAACACAAACACACACACAAATTTACTTCACTACCGTACGAATGGCAGAGAGAGGGAGAGCAGCTCGAGGCGCAGATGTTGACACGACGACGAACAGAAAACAAATGTAGTTCTCGAGCCGAGCGCAGCTGGTTTTAAAGAGCGGCGGCCGTCGATGCAACCCCCGCTGCCGACGTCGCTGCTCTTTTGTGCGAGCAGCAGCAGCAGCACGTATAACGGCAGGAGCAGGATCGAGAATTGAAATAGCCCAAAGAGAGAGAGCGAGAGCAGGAGCGAGAATAGCAACAGGAGCGGGAGCAGCAGCTACATACGTACGTGCATATGTATTGGACACTTTCCCATTTACCATATTCTCCTATTTTCAATACCAATACCAAATAGCAAAACGCAATGAGGCGAAATGGGATGGAAGACATCGGAAAATCTCTGCAGTTGGAGCGAGCGTTCGATCACTGGCCAATGCCAGTCCCAGTACCAGTGCCAGTGCAACAGGTAGCTCTTAAGAATTTCCCCTACCCAATGCGCGGCCGGAGCACTATTGAATACGAAAATTTTGGCGCGCGAGCTTTTATAGCGCGAAGCGCGTCGTCGCCGACGCTGAGCGCCAAACCGATAGCCGAGTGGACCCCGATTGGCGGCCGAGCAGCGATTCGTGTGGAGGCCGAAGCGAAAAAAACACATGTGATTTACGTTGCTACCAAGTGACTGGGACCAGAGCCAGAGCCTGGAGCCGGCGGGCTCCTCAGCCTGCGTCTTCAGGCAGCGTGCAAATCTTTAAGCAGAATTGAAGACACAGACGGCAAAGGCGACGACGACGACGACGACGATGGCAACGACTGTGCGGCATCGATTGTGTCGTTCGCAGGTAATAATGTGAGATCCACGCATTCCGAGACGCCTGCCTGCCCTGTCGGCCCCCTTGACCCACCTTAGGCGTACATCAGCAGGTAGTCGTTGTGCCAGGTCCCAGTCATATGATCGACACTGTGCTCTTTGGGGGAGGTGGAGCGGGGCGTGGCTCTTTTGTGTTTTGCAGACGTAGACGCCAATGTCGTTAAATGAGCAGCGCTCAATGTGTATGTGTGCGTGTGTGTTTGAGTGTGTGTGGGCAGTTGCGGCAAAGTTAAAGCAAAAATCGAGTTACATATGCGAGTATGTATGTATGTGTGTTTGTATTTGTGTATGCAAGCCCTGCGGGAGTCGTGTCGTATAAGACAGAGGGGAAGCGGTGGGGGCACCCATGGGTATAGTAGTGCCTGCCAAGAGCCGCTTGTAAAGACTTGGCGAATTCCTCAACAGGCAATATCTACCAGCACAGTGCAGTGTATAACAGAAGAAACAACTAAATTGGACGGCGACCATGGGGCGACATCATTTATAAAACTATCATGCGAATCATATGGGCAAAGGCAAATGATTTGAGCTGGCGGTTCCAGCCGCCGCGAAATGCGCTCAAAGCTAAATGAGCTACGGTTTCATTCTCTTGAATTGCTTTTGTGCTGTGCAGGAAGAGGATCATCTTTTTGAAAGAACAAACAACAACTAAAAAGGACGCAAAAATCATAAAGTGGTTTCGAACAAGTTAAAAAGCATATGGAGAAAACGCTCAAAACTCATTCATAGTGTGACACAGTGTGCGGCGTGTGTTTATCACAATAAAATTCCATATGATAAAGCTTAAGCAAAATGTACTTACTTGCATGATATTATTTGCAATATATTATTATTTTAAAATCTATGTAATGCATTTTATTTAAATATTATAGGTATAGCAATTGTACTATTTCCCATGCTCGTCGCTACTGCTCATTTGAAAATCATAGATCACATACCACGGTGCGGCTAAACAGACGAAGACGAACACAGAGCACAAAAAGGGCAAACTGAGAAATCAAAAAAATGTATGCAAAAAACTCGCACACAAACGCAGAGGAACACTCGCACACAAATGCATTGAGTGATTTTGATTACGAGGAAAGAATAGGCGGCACACTAATACAAGCGTCGAACACTATGAAATTGCAGTAACAACGTGAATGGGAATGGAACACAACAATAGCAGCGGGAGCAGCAAGAGCAAATAAACTTCCAAAAAAAAGAGATGTGGAATGAACAACGTGAAGAACTAAATTGTAAATCGAAATTCCAAGAAGTGCGGTCTGAGATTTGGTCGGAGGTTTGTTTTTTAAACGTCTGACGTCGACGGCGGCATTAAAAAAGTGTGCAAAAAAGCGTTTGAGATACTTTTACGCGCGCGCGCGAAAGCTAACGAGTGCGAGGGGTGTACCGGGCTATGATTGTGTGTACGTGTCACACATACATATGTATGTACGTGTGAGTGTGTGGGTCTTTAGTGTGCACGGCGTTTAGGACTTTTGCATACAAAAGAGGCGGAGAGGAGACGTGCAATTAGTGTGCAATAAAACGGACATAGAAGAATTTGATGGATAGGTAAGTTATGACCATTTAATCCATTTGCATATTGTCAGCATTGGTGTGTGAGTGTGTGTGTGTGCATATAAATTCCTGAGTATGTACGGTAGAAACTCTCTTAAGCGGATACTCTAGTTTAGGAAGGGAAAATAAAGAAGGAAAAGAAATAAGAAAAATATGAAAATTATAATGCTTGAATTATATTTTATTCAGATATTCATTAACAATGAATAAGTCGAATTATGTCTATTTTATTTTCAGGCTCAATGATACCAATGTTTTCGTATAACGGAGATTTTACTGTATGTTGTGGTCGAGCTCCACATTGGCATCCAAAAAGCTATTGCGAATTTGAATTGGAGATTGACAAAGGTGTTGACAGGCTTTTGGCATTGAAGGTATTTGAACTTTGCAGAGAATTTCGATTGAAGCGAGGCCATGGGAGTCCCGAAAAGTAGGGGAAATCTCAGAATGTACATAAGAAGCAGCGTAACATAGAAAAATGCTGATCAGAAAGAATGTTCGTCTGAGGGCACACACACACACGTGCGCAGGACAAACAGTTAGAAAGGGATAGGTGCGCGGGGAATGACCCTCGGTCCCGTTTCAATTCCCATACACAATCCTGTTCCTTTCGGGCCTCTCTCTGTACATATGTTCAATCAGCTGATCGTGCGTAGACCGAAGGACATGCACATAACAGAGCAGAGAATTAGTCCTGCTGTTCTGTGGTATGTGTGTGACACGAGCAGAAGGAGAGGCTCGGGGAACGAGCACAACGCGCGCGCAAAATTCCTTAACACGAGCCCAACAAAAACAACAACAACCACAGCAGCAGCAGCTCTGTGTGTTGTGTGTTTAGTGCGTGCGTGTGTGTGCCTACGTAAGACGTAGCAGGGGGGGCGCAGAGATTTCTTGCAGTCGCCGATGTGCATTGACCAGGCAGATCGACGAAAGAAGTAGGTGAAGAGCGCATGAGCGCTCGGAATAGGTGCACAAAAAGGAAACGCGTTTTGATTTTTGCGCCAAAATCGCTGCCACTGTATATGTGTCAGTGTGAGAGCTCTGTGCCAGTGTGTGTGTGTGTGTGTGTGTGTGCAGGACTCGTCTGATGGGTAGAGTTGTCGTTTAAAAGGCACAAATGGCTAAATAATTTCAGCTAATAGCTTTTAGAGTACAACTTATTTGCAGACATTGCGGGGACGCAGCTTATAATGTATACACATACATATATTTTTATGAATTTAATAAAAAATATAAATATAATTAAATATAAATTTGACTTTTTGTCGAGAATATATGGGCTCGTGGGATAGTATTTAAACATTTTTATTCAAAATTCGATATGGTATAAATTATATTGAAGCTACTTACAAGTCTGCATATCCCAACTAAAACTTTCACAAATTTATTTAAAAGCTTTCAAATGTCATTATTTAAAATGCTAGAAGTAGCCAAATGGCAGCTATAATGGCAACTCTGCTGCAGTGAGCGGCGCAATCTGTACGGGAATATGTATGCGTATTTATGTGCTGTTAATACATGTGTATTTGTGAAGCCGTCTGCGAGCCTGTTTATCTTTGAGCACTGCTGCAGTCGCTGCTGTGATTTCTTGCAGTCTTTGTCGCTCCTCTGATTATGTGCAGTAGAGTCGTTGCTGTTGCTGTTGTTGCTATTGTTGTTGTTTTTCTTGCTACTCGACGTTTGTCTTTTTGCCTCTTTGCCGCGCTTTGTTGTTGCTATTTTATATTTCCTTCGCCGCCTCGCACTGTATTCGTTCCTTGTTCCTTTTTGCGCCTTGTCTACAAGCTGATTGTGAGAAATATTTTTCGTTACTTGACTTTCTGCTGTGCGTGTTCCTTCTGTCTGTCCACCGTCCGCCGTCCGTTGTTCGTCGTCCACAGTCTTATGTCCTCTTACCCATTGGCGGCCACCGCCGGATCCCACAGTCACAATTCTTCTGCTTCCCACCCGTATCTCCACTGGTGCCCGCAGCTCCAGTTTCTTGCACACACTAATTGATTCTCTGCATAAATTTTATTTAAAGCTTTAATAAATGTCAAAATAAGCAATTCATTTCGATGTTAGAGAACGCATTCATTCACGAGCACGCACAGTCACACTCACACGGATCATTCACGATACATTCACCACATTCACATTCTCTAAATGAAGCTTTCACTGCAGCAATCAATTGCCGGGTTCAGAGTTTAAATGTGCTGCTGCTGTCGAAGTGCCGCCCGCCTGGCAGCCCAAGGCAATCAATTCGTATACAAACATATGTCTACACACATATACATGCATACGTATGTATGTAAGTCTCTATGTATATGAGCTTACTCTGCATCCAGAGATCGTCTGTCACGTCACGCGACAAGCCCTGCACATTCATTGTGGGAGGTGACAACGATTTCCATAGATTTGAAAGGATTTTATTTATGAATTGTTGAATTTTGGTTTAAATTGAAGCAATTAATTTGTCATTGATAATGCATTAATTGCTTGGGGCACAATGTATTTAATAAACAACAAGAAATAACGGTTTTCTTTCTGGGTTTAAGTGCTGTTTATATAGTTTGTCTATCTGGACTATATATCTGATATTCTTAGCTATATTTCTTCAATTTCTCATATTACACTATTTTGACAACCATATCCTCACGTTAAAATTTAGTAAAACTTTTTATTACACAACCAGCATTTTCTAGTTTTGCTCTTTATCAATTTCCTTTAGCAACACCTGAAATTTCATAGGTCTTTGCATTGTGCAACGCCCGCAACAAGCTGCATGCAAAACTGGGGAACGACATATTATTATGATAACTTCTAACGGTCAACACTGATAAGCCGCAGTGCTGAAGCTTCCCCGAAGCAATATTTCTTGGATTGTTTGCACAGCTCTTGGTAAATAGTCATAGCACATATACATACATACATATGTACAAATACATATATACATTTGTATGTATGTATATGAGAGGGGGTCATATATAGGAGCCTTACACATGTATTGGTGTTTGTGTGTGGAATGATATGAGGCTGCCTCAGGAAGTACTAATCAACATTGCTCGGCTCAGCAGCACAACAAAAGTTGGTATTGTATATGTGGGCAAATAGGCAACAACAACTTGAGAAGGGGGCAGCGGAGGCGGCGAAGGCGGTGCGGGAATGTACATTGTAGCAGTGGGGAAGTAGGTTGTCGTTGTTGTTGTTGCCATTTAATGAGCGAACAATGTTCTTGACATGATTAGATATTTTTTATATTCCCAATACCCTTGTTAAGGTTGTTTTTATTTAGTCTGCGAATTTGTTACGCACCGAATGGCGCATATCAGTTAGGTATCAAATATATATACATCTAGTCTTAAATTGAGAAATCTAAAAAAAAAAAATAAAAAATAATAACATTTTGATGTTTAGAATTCATTTATGAGAAATACTATATCTATTATATTTGACTTAGATTATCGTATTACTTGAAATATATTTATGCATGTTAGAGTATTTATATTTCAGCTAGACTCTTTATTGTTTTGACAGTTATTCATTTTATGCATGTCGCGCGAATTTGGCGCGCATTTCGATTCCAATTATGATATGTGGGGGCATGAATGCCACATTTGTCGAGTTTAGTGGGGCATTGACTAGGCACAGTCACAGGCCTGTCTTGATAAGACTGCTCTCGATCTACCTAGCAGTTGGGTCATCTGTCTGCCAGATTTGGCTGCCCGCTGCGCATTCCACTTGAGTTTCCCAGGCACCCAAACACCCCCCACTGCTTGGTTAGTTTGCAATTGAAATCGATCAACAATTAGCTGATGTTTTGCTTGCAATTTTCTAAATCATTAGAATAGTAGCAGCTTGCTCAGCCTTTGTCTGCGTGGCTCAAGTGGTTCGCCATTCTCCCAGGACAATTCGCCTTGTGGCCGGCACTCGTTGCGCCTGTGTTTCAGCTTTTGTTTTCAGCATTTCTCAGTGTTAGTTCTTTCTATGCTCTTATTTTTGCCAACAATTTGGGTCACAACAAGTGCCGACATTGAAACAATCTCTTGGTATTATAAGCATTTCTGTTTCTGCTCGATTTCGAGCAGGCAGTGCGAAATCTTCATTGTCATATGTTGCGCCGCATTTTGGTTCCCACACAGCGTGCAATTTATATACATTTATGTTGTTTGCCTTTATTTTATTTGGCCTGTCTTGTCTCAAGTGTTTCAGGCTGTGGCTAAAGACTTTTTACTTATTTGGATCAAGGCTCTGTTCTGCTTAAAACTGTTCTTAAAATATCATTGTGAGTCCTTATATATGCGTGATAAATAATAATAATAAATATGTGATATATATAGAGCTAATCTTAATGAAGGGAATAATATATAGTCGAACATTTTAAAGACTGAATTTAAATAGCCTGCAAAATCACACAGTAGTTTGGCCATCTATTGCTTAAAATTTGAACTTGAAAAACTCTTTAAGATTTGATCTAATATCATATAATATCATCAAAGATATTTCATATTTATAAGCCAAGTCTGATGATCCTGGGATTCTATTTTTTATTCAACTGCTATATCTATTCATAAGGAATCGTAAAAATCATTCTCAAATTAATATAATTTTTTTAAACCGCATCCCTAAACATTAAACTTTTTTTTTTTTTTATTGAAAAACATAATTTTCGTTTTCAAAATTTTACAAATTCCAAAATTTTTTTTTTATTATTTTCGATTTAAATATGTTTTAATAATATTCAATAATTGTATAAAAATTAAAATAAATCATATCAAACTTATATATTTTATTATCAAAAATTTAAATTGAACTCATATGCAAATTTATTATCAATTAGCTTAAAGATTAGTTCGTAGTCCGATTTGTTTGGGTTGCCGTCATGATCAATGACTTCTGTCACTCTAATATGATATCCTTCATGGGTTTTCTCCGATTCGAACCCCTTCGAGGTTTGATACCCTCGGCCAGTGGTCAATGTTTATGTTTAGATTAATAACAGCCACGCGACTGACCCACGAACTGCCCATTGGTCAGTTAATTTTTAGTAAAACCTCAATAGATTCGCGCCCTAAGGGATCTATGCTAACATCTTGGACAACCACAATACCTCTACATATATTTATTTATATACATATATGGGCATGTAGCCAATCTATAGCTTAGGGATATGTGGAAATTAATCACAGGGCTCAACCCTAGCGCCGCCGAATCCTTTCTCTGGCCCTAACGCAGTGAGACTCTGTGTACACAGCATGTAATTAATTGATTAACATTCTTAAGGATAGCATTTCTTTTGGATTGATGTGCCGATCTTATCGTGTTACATTCGCGCAGCCTTTCAACACATTTGGGACGCAACCCTTTTGTTAGACTTGAGCTATCCGCCTGACCAGATCCGGGATAACAATGGGCATGGCTATATATATGTTTGTCGGTCTGTCTGTCTGTCCGTGGCGGGGCATTTCATTCATGCATCTCTGGAGATGATTTGTTTCGCGTTGATCCTAATCTAGAGTATACCCTGGATTGTCCTATATTGAGTAAACAAGGGTATATTGAAGTTTTTGAGAAAATAGAGCCAATGACCTTATTTATTATTAATTAGATGCTGAGTTGATCTCTGGTCTATTTCTGCGCCTTTCAGAGAAGACCTGAAGAAAGTTTGTATAGACAAACTGAGGGACTGTATGAGCAAACATTATAGTTACATCCTTAGCTAGCTGTAGAGGGTATCTGTGGGTCTATCACGAGGAACTGAAAGCCTTCCTAATTATTCATTTTACGCGCATCTTCGCTAACGCGCAGTTTCTTAGAACTCGGACTTGAGAAACAACGCAGTTTAATCACTGAAATCAGTCAAATCAGTTGTCCGAGCGCAACCACAGAGTGGAGAGGGGGCTTTACTGTTTGAGGTGCCTGGTCCAGCAATTTCTCAATGTCTAAGTGAATTACACAGCACATTAGATGGCATCGATGTGGCTGATGTTGCATAATCCCAACGATCGCCCAGCTGCCAAGTTTTGCACCCCTCGATAAGGTAAGCAAATTTTGCCATTTGTCCTGTACCCATTCCCGTTCCCATTCCCATTCGCATTGCTATACCCATTCCCATTCCCATTCCCATTCTCAAGCGGGATGGGTCGCTTACCTTGAGCGAGGGGCCCAGTCGGGCAGAGCAATTGCATTGTTTTACTAACAACATCAAAGTTATGACAAGATTTTGTCTATCACAGCTCAAGCTGTGCCCGTTCCTCATCTCCTTCTCCTTCTTCTTCTTTATGTCTTGAGATTTAGTTTTGGTTTTTTTTTTTTTTTGGGAGGGTTGAAAGGATGATCGCAGGACATCTCGTGTGGCCAACTGACAGACTGACTGACAACCGACTGCACAGTTCGCCTTGTGCTCGAAATGCATTACGATTGAATTTCAAATTTAATCGCATATACAAATTTTATTTATGTGACATGGGTGCATTCCGTACCGTGGGATGGAACTTTGCTCGCTCTCTCTCTATCTCTGTGACAATTCACCGATCACAAATGGTCCATGTCAATCCCTAATGCTTTCACTTGGTTTCAATTGGCAGGCAGGCAGAAAGTCATAAGAGAAGCTAAAGGATGGGAAGTTAGGAGAAAGTTAAGAGATGATCTTATAAGATTTATTATATTTTAATATAAGATTGATAATATATATTTATAAATGTTTATATATTGCATAACATATTATCTACTAATTTTAAATCAGTAAAATTTATAATATAATTTATATATCGTAATATTTTATTATATTACATTATAATAGCATTATTTTTTTTTTCATTTATTTATTGTATTACTAATTTTTGAGCTGCTTTTTAAGCCATTCATAAATCTAATTTGAGCAAATACAAAAATTTTTGTAATTTGAAGACGAGATTAAAATTACTAAAAAAATTTTGAGGATTGACTACAAATAAAGTAATTTTCTCCAGTTTCTCTCCTTTCATATTTCGAACATCTTGCTAATCATATGCTAGGCTAACGTATGCCTACTACGAACTCATTAAGAGATTAACAATATCTTAACTAGAAAATCTAGCAATTTTTCTTTTGCTGCTGTTCTTCTGCTAACTGCTAAATGGCTTGCAATTGCACATTCAACACATTGTGGCACAGACAAAGGCACATGTCAGATACAGATACATACTATATATATTCGTATGAGTAGTTGGATTTCAGACAGAAGAACAAGTACAACTCAATATGCCGATCCATCATCTGGTACTCAACGCTGGCCATATGTGTGTAATATTAATCTGCAAAATTTATATGTATATAAGAATTTCATTCTCTTCTCTTCTTTATATATATACTTATTTTTTTTGGCACATGAACAAATGAAGTCATTGTCAGCAGTTGTCAACGCTGGCACGCCCAGGCAGCGTGTGTGTTGTGGGCGTTGTGGCTATAGGAAATACGAAAAATCTTTAAAACTAATTCCCAAATTACCGGTAAAAATGCCTAAAACAAAGTGCCAAACAATCAGAGAGGAAAAAGTTATAGAAATTTGATGGCCTCCAATGGCTTGGCTCAAAGGAGTGTACGCTGATCCAACCCATAATTAACTATTCAAACAAAAGGCAGGCGTGCATACAAAAGGATCGATAATCACACACACACACACACACACACACATACACCTACCATATACCACTTGATGTTTCGAGTCACGTTTGCTGACACAAATCCTTCTTAGGAAAGGCAATATTTCCTAGTCATCGCCACGATCTACACGGGCACACACATCCTCATCATCAGGAGGCTTGGAGAATCGGCTGCGAGGCGAGCCATATTGACAGGCCATAGCCCCGTGCATACCAAAGCAGATTGCGCAGATTTCCAAAACGTTAGAAACCAAACGGCAACAGCAGCAGCAACAACAACAATAGCAACGGCAACAACTACAACAACAATTATGAATACGTGAGCTGATCTACCTATTGTTCGACTGTTTTGGCTGCAACCTGTTCTGTGCATCGTGTAAGGTGTTGCTCGCCTGGCCTTCTTTTCTCTTCTTCTTTTTTTTTTTTTTTGCTTCTCTTGATCACACCTACGTATATATATAGGTGTATATACATATATGTGCATATGTATGTGGCCATTTCTACTGTTCGCTTGCCAAGCATCAGTCCACTGCCTTGACAGCGAATTGCTCTGGCTCATAATTCACTCACTGCACAGGTTTGAATTTCTTTAAAAATAACTTTATTTTGCATACCATTTCATTTCTTTTTATTCTTTTTTAATTTTATTTTATTTTTTACTTAACTTTGCATACTTCGTTAAGAAAGTGCGTGCTGCATATAAGAGCAGTTGCATCTAGTCTTAGACAAGAATTGTGGGAATGCCTTGCTGAAATGATTTCATTCTCATATGGATGATCATATTCTAAATATGTATAAAGTAACTCTTCTTTCGAGTTTAATAAATCTTAGAGAAACTAGATTATTATTTTGTAAAAAGCAAACATAATTGGACAACAATTTTTTATAGATTAAGTGAGAATTTTTCTTAGGATTCTTCCTTAGACCATAACATATCCTAGGAACATCAGTTGCTCCTTTGGAGTTAAATACTCATGTCAACACATTCAGCTTCTAAGAATTTCAGCTCTAACGTTCAGAAGGTGTTGAATGTTTTCTATCTTTTGTTCTCCTTTATCGAATTGATGTTAACTAAGGATCTCATGATTTTATTTTGTAGTAAAAAGGTAATTTTGTACCTTTTACAAGTGAAATAAATTTTAAAATATATGGGAACGAAACTAAAAATAATATTCACTAAATAGCGGCACAACATTTTTAAGAGTTGATCAGTTTCGATTTATTAAGATGTTTTATAGAAGTCTTAGCACTGAGAAAACATGATAAAGGACTTTGTTTTATAAAAGTTTTAGCACTGAGAAAACATGATAAAGGACTTTCTACAACTTATGCTTATTTGAGTAAAGAATTGTACCCTGGAATACTTTTCTATTAAAATATCCTATATATAATCTTCTTCCAATATCATATAATAGCAAAAAAAAAAAAAAAAAAAAGCAACGTATGCTATTTAATAGCCGCCTCAGTCATATGCAAATACACCTAACGCCCCAAATATGTAGCACTCGTCCTGGTCTCATTCATTTGGCACGTGTGCCGGATACAATTTTCAACAGTTCTGCCACACAATGGGGCAGAGCGAGCGTGTTAGGAAAACGTGCCTACTACGCGGCGCCCGCATCGGATGCATTTGAAATATTTATCCAAAAATTGTTAATACACAGCGCTACAAAAGGACCTTTCAAATTGAAAGGATGCGATTGTATTTGCATTAACATTGGCATTGTTATGCCGGCATCAGGATATCAAACCAGCGTTGGTAGAGGGTGTGACAGTATGTGTGTGTGTGTGTGAGTGTGACTGAGCATTTGCTGTGAGTGTGTGTGTGTGTGTTGGCAGATCCTTTTACAATCAGAAATACGCGAAAGTGTGGCGCATGCGCACGTGCGCTTAGATCCTGCGCATTCGTACAAGGGTGGCTCATGGCAGCGCCCCTCTATCGCTAATGAAAACAAGTGGACGCCATTTCCGCAAATGGTTTAATTGCCAGCCAGCTTGATGATCCTTGTTGTGTTGTTGTTGCTGCTGCTGCTGCTGCTGGTGGTGCGGCGATGGTGGTGTATGCGCCCTCAGCTTAGCTAGCAGGCGAGTACAGTGCGCAACCAGCATAGTCCTGGCTAGCAGGACATAAGCGCCTGTGGGAATCTAACGGCTGCAAGGACAGCCGCCAGAGAGGGTGGTGCTGCTGCTGGTGTTGTCGTTTCTGCTTGATACCCTGTAGTTTTTGGCAGTGATTGAAAAGGGGTATGATTGGCATGGTTATAAACAGGGAAATGCTTGACTCTGTAAAGTTAAAGTTTACATACGGCATATTTATATATGTATATGTTTTTAATGGACAAGTCTGTGAGATCTCTCAGAGAAATGTCTGACTCTTTAAAGTAAAGCAGAATTATACTTGCATATATTATATACTCATTTAATATAAAGTGATTCTTCTCTCAAAGCCTTTAGCCTGCGTCTCTCACAAGTTTGCAATGAAAGCTTTCTGCAGGGCAACAGCTAGTCGCACTCACCCACTCGCCTAGATCAGTGCGACTTGTTTGGTCTGGCCTGTTGGTGGTAGCTGAGTATCGGGCTGGTGGTGCACCATTATATTTTTGGGGTGGTTCAACCCCCAGGATGTGGCACGGGCCCCTGTAAAGTTGTAACAGGCAGGTGCTGGCTCATGCTGGTGTTGATTTTGATTTTCATTTCGTGCTGATGATACCCTCCATTGGGGTGATGATGCTGCTGCTGCTGCTGCTGCTTTTACTGCTGCTCGAGCAGACAGACATGCGTGCAGCTGCCTGTTCAGCCGCGTACAGTCAATGACCCGTTAGCTTAATCAAGGCAGCAAGTCCTTGATTACATGCTTGACATAAATCATATGCAGCGGGCCGCCCGCCTGGCAGCTGCACAAAAGCTCAATGCCCAAAACAAACTCGATGCGCAGCTGAGCAGAAATAGAGCAGCCGATAACGACAATAGTCAAATTTGTGCAATAGCACGGCAAGCGGCCCAACCACAAGCCCAGTCAAACATCTTTGTGGCACACACCGGGCTCGGCACGAGTCCTTTGCTGAAAATCTTCATAAATTACTGGACATTAAATGTCCAAGAGCTGCTGCCGCTGCAGCAATCATTGCGCAATGTGTGCAAAAACGACATCAAGAAATCAACAATGCGTGGCAAAACAGGACCAAATCGCAGCCACACCGGGCCCCGTAGCTGCATCTTGCAATGCGCTGACAATGCTGCTGCTGCTGCTGCTCAATGTATTAATGCCATTATTCTTCCGGCGCATAGCCATTGTGGCACTTACAACGCTGCAGCGACTCCCTTTTCTTCTTCCTTCTTCCGTTGTCGCTGTCCTGGTCGTTGTCCTGCGCAATCATTGTAATCGATTTTGCACAATTTCCAATGCCAATGCTCAAGACGTTGCGCCGACGCTGTGTCTTAGGGGTTGTCGCTGCCGCCGCCACTGCCACCTGGTTTACACACACACACACATATGTATATGTGTATGCATTTCATCCCCCTTGGCTTGCCACACAGCTGATCATACGTGGCTCTATGTAGCTCGTGCCAAAGCGCGCGCGGGGTTCGTCCTTAAGGAATACGAAAAATTGTAACAGCAAATAATAATGGGCTTCTCTTTAGGCTAGGTCTGGGCTCTAAGCAGCCGGCGCTTGCCGCTGCCCGCCACCGTTGCCGTCTCTCTGACTCTCGACACCTTCAACTATTTCTCGCTTGGCACAAGCCAAAAAGAAAATATATATATGTATGTATGTATGTATGTATGTGCAGCATAGGCAAACATCTGTCCCATATTTTGTGCCGTCTTAATGTGACACATTTGTAAGACTCGAACAGCTCTCGACTGTTTATCGCTGACTAACAAATTTGGTAAGTGCTTAGGGAGCAGCGCTAAAGGGTTGCCCCAATGTGTTTTGTTTTGCTTACCAATACTAAGTGCAGTCAGTAGTGTTGGCTAATTAACCGAGCTCAACTCAAGGGTTGACAACTAGCTCCCCATTTGCCGGCATTCCCTACATATTCTCCCCACTTCTTGATTGAACTCAAAAATTGACTTTTATTCCAATTGATATTTAGCTCCATTTCATAAACAGTTAATTGCCACAAGGTGAAAACGCTGAGACTCATAACTTTGCTTGCATTTCGTATGTAAATGGAACTTCAAATAATCTCAAGATATCTATAAATATTGATGGTCAACTGGCAGTTGGTTTTCAGAGTTGTTTTTCGAAAAACAAAATTATGTAAAGCAACTTGGCTCAAAAGATATGAATATGGATGAGGAAATGCAAGGTAAATAAATACTGTTACGTACAATCTTTAAAAAAAAAATCAAGGATATGGTTATTAAAGTTGAGTTTTTGTACTTATTTATGAAGGCATAATAGAGCTTCAGCTTAATTCTTATATATACAATTATGAATTATATCGTT